TAAAATGCAAAAAAAGTAAAAGAATTAGAAATTACTAAGAGCCAGCTAACTGAAAAAAAAGCACTATTCTCTCTGCTTTGGGTATCACAAATCATTTAATTAACTTCTCGTTAGTGCTTTTAGGATAAGCAATTTAGCTGATATAAGGTAGCTGTTATATATAACTATTTATTTATTTATTCATTGTGTGTGTGTGTGTGTGTAGAGACTGCCTCTGCTGCGCAGACACACAAAAAATAACCCCCTAGTATTTTCACTGGGTAAGCTCCATGTACAATTTGGGGTACATCCCCACTTTCACCCAGCAACACACGCACGCCTCCTCCTACGATGTTCATGCCAGCCCTAGGCCTTTGGCAGGCTCTCTGGTGGCATATATAGGAACAGAGATGAAAGAGGACAGTGTAAATAGAAGAGCAAATGATTCCATTTTTTACCAAGTCAAGGTACTTTTAAAGAGAGCTGGATCAATTTTCCAGCCTCGCCTAAGAAAAGTACTTCAACATCTCAAAGCACAAACAGGAACAGGGTTTGAGCACTATGCCACACGTAAGGCACATGTAAGTGCTATTTATTTATTTAGCTGCTCTCTTCCCCCCTTCCTGCCACCCAACAGGCATTTCTGTCTCTCAACCTGCAAAGGGACGGATTCCACCAAAGCAAGTCATCAGCTGCGTGGCTCCCAAGGAATTCTCTCTCCAAGGAATGTGTCTCCAAGGAATACTGAAATTCTTTCAGTATTTATAAATATGCCTCTAATGCATCTCTTTCTCCAAGTTTTTAACAGTTAAACTGAACTTAACTGTCCTGAGTTTAATGTTGATTTTACTTGTATTAATGTTAGTATTGTTTTATATTTTGTATTTTGCTTTACTGGTGAAAGCTACCTTGAGTGCTTATGTAAGTGGAAAAGTGGGGCATACACAGGGGAAGGAATATGGGCTAAGGCAATGTTTGGTACTAGGAGAATAGTTTTCCACTAATCCAAAATCCAAAATCACAGACTGCTGTGGCAGGGAAGTTAGCATGATCCACAATCGCCTTGGAACAATTTTGGATTAAGTCTGCTCCTCAGTTCAAAATATATTTATGCCTGAAGAAATATGTCATAGAGTGTGGGTTTGCAGAACATACTGATCCAGAAACTAGTTAAACTAGTATGTTATGCAGTTCCAAACTCTGGTTAATTTATGACTCAATGGATTGTGTAATTAGAGAAAATTAGATTGAGGAAACCATGTTTATATTAACTTTGGCTAAAGATGTTACGTGAATCTGCCACATTTTCACTTGAATTTTCTGCCCTGGAAAAATGTTTAATGGTAGGGTATGTAACCATATAACGCATGTGAATGAATGTATTGTACATTGTACAATTATATTTTACAGATTTTGTCTCCAAGCAAAAGTATTTCCTGATGCAACTACCATGAAACTCAGTATCTCTGTAATAGATTTTTTTTTTTAGAGAAAGCTTATTCCCCCCCCCAAAAAAAAGCCCCACTACTTCCAACAAACTAAATGGAATTTAGAATTTAATTAACTCCATTTAGATAAATAAATTCCATTTAGAATTACTGAAATAAAATGCTGCTGTATGATGCACACAACAAAATTTAAATTTTCTTATCTGATTTACTTTCAAATATTATTTTCTGATACTTACTCTGTATTGCCTCTTTCATGTGTTGCTTACTGTTTGCTCTATGATACCAGATGATTTCAGCTCCATCTCTTGTTTTAATTTGTTTGGTATTCAGAAAATAATCTAATATATTTTGACTCCAAAATCCTATGTGAAAAACACTGGAGATAATAAATTCATGCAAGAGATCTTAGAATAAGTTATAAATATAATTTTATATCTGTTGTGAAATCTCAGAATTGTGATGGAATGGAATTAGAAGGCCAAGCTCAGGGAGATAAACATTTTTTTAGCTCACCAGAACCACGTGGGAGGAACAAGAGGATGAGACTGGCACCTCCCTGAGGAAT